TGTACTCTATATTAATAATAAAAAAGAAAAATAATAATTAGTCTGATCTATAAATTTAAATACTAAAATAATATATTTATTTAAAAATTTTATTTTTTATCTAAAAATAAATATAAATAAATTTAAATATACAATTATACATACAATATATAAAAAAATAACTAAATCGATTATATCATTATTATATTTTAATTTAATAGTTAAATCAAATTAGTATATAAAAATGTATCAAATAAAAAAAGTGTTGTAGGCATTTTTCATATTAGATCAATAATAATAATAATAATAATAATAAAATTATAAAAACCTCATTGACATGGTAGATAAGGTTTGCATTCAAATCTAAACAAATCTTTCTAATTTCTACAAATAAAAGAATACACCCTAGAACTTTCGTAATGGAGAGAGCAATATAGATAGAAATTTACACAAAATATTTTTTATTGAATGGTTTTTGTCATGCTACATATAGCTACCTAGATGGGTAGCCTATGAATCAATTTTGGTTGTCTATAGAAAATGACTACAAATATTGTCCGAATTTTAGATAATATTATAAAATGGAACAAATTAATAGAAAACCTAGAGAAAGTGCCACACAGCATGTATCACCACTTTCCTTGAGTTTCATTTGATGGCAGATTCTCAAGGCTTGCTTGTGCACCCACCCATCGCTTACTCTACTTTAATAATATAAAACTAAACATGATGTAAAGAGAATTATTTAAATTTTTAGTTTTTAATACATTTTATAGTTGGAATCATAAATAGCTCATAACTTACATGTTGAATCTATTTGGTTCAGTTGATAATCAATATTTAACAATATTTATAAATAATTATAAATATTAATTAACTATTGAATATTTACTGTTTGTTATAGGCTGTTGGAAATGATTAAACCAAACTTAGAGTATTTAAAAATAAGTTTTGTTAAATATTTTTCCTTTTTTATTCCTAAAAGGAAATAAAAAAGAGAAATATGGAAGTACAAGAAATGGTGACCACAGGCAGGGAATAGCTCTTACGATATATATCCTATATTCTGACTCTCACCATATAAGGACAGTAGCTGAGGACAACCACATTGCTAATTAAGGGACCCGCCCAAGGATCAAATATTCCATCTTTTTTTTTAGGTGGGAATAAAAGAAATAAGCATATCAAATAAATATTTTTATCAAAAAGTAAAGAAAAAAAACTTTTAAAAAAAAAATAAATAATATTATGTTAAAAATTTTAGTCAACCAACTTACACCAACAGAAACAGCGATGATCATCATCCACTCATATTTTAGTTCTACAAAACGAAATGGTAGACATCAATTTTCTTAAATATATCACTATCATGAGGTCATTGATTTACACCTTAAGGAAAATACATCCCTTTTGCTTTTGCAAAATATATAGAAATTGAAGACACCATTTCATGCAAGTTGCCAAGATTCCCTTTCATGGGATAAATCCTGAATTTGTAGGCGAAAGGAGCTTTGACTTGTAGGGTAATAGATCAAGTGAAATATTGTTTTTGAATGTTTGAGATCTCTGTTCTCCAATATGATCTTAGGAATTGAAGAGCATGAGTTTTTGCGTTAGATGTTAGTGATGTGGTGTAAGAAATTAAAGAAAATTTAACACATTATTTATTAAAGTGGATTGTACATAGCTGTGAGTAAAAAATGGTACACTTTTACCTAAGTATTAATTAATATTTAGTTGAATTTTTACACCTGGTAAGATAAATGATGGTTATATTGTAGACTCTTAAAAAAAGGAAAAAAGGAAAAAAAAAAACTTTTTAGGATTGGTTTAAAAGTAAATTAAAAAAGAAAAAAACAAAAAGAGATAAAATTGCCACTTCTTTCCATGTGTTGGCCAGTTGTTGAAGAATATTATTAGTATCTAATTATTTATAACCATCATTACCCTTTAAAATTAAAAAAAAAAAAAGAAAGAAAGAAAGAAAAAAGAAATATAAACTAAAGTAATTAAGGACTTCCCATCCTAAGAACTAAGAAGGAATGGGTTTCACTTCTCCCCATAAAGAATCATTTTTACGCAATCAGCCTTTTTATCAACTCAATATTCTCATTCACCAAGCATATACATCATTTCTAACGCAATTAATGGAATCAAGGAAACAAAACAAGCTTCCATTGCCTTTTTTTTTTTCCTTCATGTTCTCTCACATGCACTTAAAGTCTTAAACCCTCAACCAATACCCACTTTGCATTTTTATATTACAAAATTTTCATTCCTTTCAATTGTAATTTGAGTCAGAAAATTAAAGAAACATTTGGGTTTTTTTTTTTAAGGGGGATTCCTCAGCTGGACATGCAATCATTCAAGTGTTGGTATTGGCAATTTAAAGGCATAAAGTATAAGTGAACCCTTAATAACCAAAGTGAAGTTGTCGACAGATAAAGAAGCAGCATTAAAAACCCGTTTGACTGTCTAAAAGAACAGTGTGTAAAGATCGAAAGTTACTAAAAGAATCGAGGATTGAGATGAAAGGGATTTCTAAGAATATTTTTTTTGAGTTGTTCTCTTTCAATTAGAAGAAGATTTGCTTTTGTTTTTTAATTCCTTCAGACCTAAGGTATGGAAGGACAAAAATGAAAAGTAGCCGTCCTTCTTTTTGACTTGAAAAGAATTGGTCATTTGGTAACTTTACTTTTTTTTAGAACTTTTGTTTTCTTTAATTATTATACACAACTAAAATCAATCGGTCGAAATTCAACGCATTCTAAAATGATATATAATTAATTCAAATAAAATTACAAATTATAACAAACAAACATTTTTCTTTTAAAAAAAATTGAACAACAATTAATTCACATAAATAATTAATGATTTATTAATATAAGTAAAAAAATTTTGATTCTTCTTAAATAAAATCTCGAATTCAAATATTATAAATAGAAAGATAAGTTTTGAGAAAGTCGAGTATTTCTATTGAAACTTCTAAACAAACATGATTGAGTACCAAAAAAAAAAAAAAAAACTTACATAAATAAAAGCTTAAACTTAGGATGTAAGGTATGTACCAAAAAAATTCATGTTAATCACTGGACCACTGCTTTGAAGGAACCTGAAGGGAGGAAGGAACAATGCTTTTGAGATATGTTTTTGGGTCATTGTGCTTCAATTTGTATGGCTATTAAAAGGTGGTGATGATAAAGTGGAAGCATATAAATATCCCAAGTGCTGCTGCTTTCCTTTTCCAATCTTTTGCTTTTTAACAATGCAACGAATACGATGATCATCTGTCACTATACATTCAAAGTATTAGTGATCTCTCTTTTCCTCTACATCGCTCTCAGGAGGACCATTCATCGAGATATGATCCACTACTCGTATGATAAAGAATCGTGACTAATGTTGTTTTTTTGGTAACTGAGAACACGGTATTCTTACCTTTAATTATGCTCTTATACGTGCAGCATAATGCGAAATTTGAATTTTTTTGAGGTTTTTATTTTGCTGTTTGAATTATATTGAAATGTGAAATAAAAATTATAATATGCAAGAAAAAGTTCATTTCATCTAATAACTAAAATTATATAGTTTAGAAAAATTTAAATTATACAATACTGAATCTTTTTTTTTTTTACTAACTTCTTAGTATCCAAAAATCATATTGGATTTTAACTAATTTATAATCAAATCGCATTGGACATATAACAGAAAACTCTCTCAACGTCTATTCCTCTTTTTATAAGGTTCAAACTTAAGATTTTACTTAAAATGTTCAAACTCAAGATTTTATTGAAAGAAAACCGAACCATTTCCACTCAAATTAACAAATTATTGCTATTCTTTTTGGGTTTGGATCACCTGGTATCCAGAAGTTCACCGGGTCACTGATTAATCCGGATTTAGGCCGGACAAGACTTAACGGACGGTAAAACTCTCCTTTATGAGTTTTAACAGTATTACATTCCCAAGATTTGAAATCAAAATTTCTGATTAAACTAAAAGAATCTCCTAC